GCATTTGCATGCGTGAGCAGAAGTACTTCTTTGCTGTCCACTTAACCCAGCTGGAGGAGTGTGTGTGGGTTCCTTTCTCTCATCAGAGCTGTCTAAACTGCTATAATGATAAAACCACAGCAGCAACAATAGCAATATAATTAACAAAGTCATTGTGCCAAAGCTCTTCAGCACTGCCTTGTGGGATCCTTGTCTCAGCTAGCGGGTTATCTGTCCATACATCTCTGTTGTCCCTGGCCTCTCTGCTGGACACTATCTGAGGCAGTGCTAGCCAGTGCGTAGATGAGGGGGTGATGTTTGTTCCCATTTCGTAATGAATTTTCCTCTCTGGTGTCCATGGAGATCTGGTCCTGTAGCACTGCTTGTGGGCATTAGCTGTCACTTATTTTCTGAGGAGGAAAGGGGGAACTGATCTAAGGAGTAGATGAGCTTTGACACGCAGAGGCATGTAAGGAGTTGTGCTTCCCAAGCTTGGTGTGTCTCGTCCAAACTGGGATGTTACACAAACATCCAATGTAAATTTGGCATAAGGATTACCTGGAACTATAAAAACAACTGTGCACTCCCCCTCCCCAGCATCCCAAAGGCTTCTTCTGAACAAAACCTGGGGAACCTTGGGTGGCCAGGGTGGGAAGATGTGAGCCAAGACAGGTGCTATGGCTTGTGGCCTGGCCCTAAGAGCAGAAGAGGGATGGTCGGTGGCCTCTGTCACCCTGCCCAGCTAAGGGAAGCCTGGGGAGAAGCAACTTGGCCATTTGCTCCTTGGATTAGTCAGTGAGTGGCATGAGAGGAGACACAATGTCTTTTGCATGGTCCTTCTAGCTGAGAAGTGGAAGTTAGCTGCGTGTGCTAAAATTATACCTGTGGTGTAAAATACATGGTGAGAGTTCAGGGATGATGGTGACTAATCCTTTGGAGGCAGACATGAATGGGGAGCCAGACTCAAAGTGGTGGCTGAAATTTGGCCTATTTGCTTCTGGTTTATCTCAATTATTTGATTAGGAAGGTTTGAACCAAGAAACACTGTGGGAAGCAAAAATCTGCTTTAAGAGTTCATTCTGGGAGTGGTAATTGAGTTTTAAATGCTTATGGCAGAAACTGGAGTTGTACTAGTGAATGCATTATAGACTTTTCCCAGTGGTAAGCCCATCATGATGGAGACACTGCTCTGCAAATAGCCCCATTGTAGAGGACAGGGGGAAGAAGGGGTGGAAACCAAGTAGGCTTTAATGAAAATTATTCATTTGTTTTGCCGATTATAGAGTTCTTACTCCTACCTAGGCAATGCTTTTGGCATGGAGCTGCAGGACCTGGGAAGGAGGGGATTCTAACTAAAAACTGGATAACCTGCAGGTCTGCTTTCACACCACTTGCAATTGCTTGCCCCGAAACAACACTGGCTCTGCAGGAGAAGCCAATGAGGAGTGAAAGACGCTTGTCTGCCCTTGCCATCTGTAGCTCTTGCTGCTTGCCTTTACCGATCCCGTGTGAGACACCAGGAGGTATAGATGCTTTTTTTTTTTTTTTTTCCCTTTTACTGTTGATGTAAGTAGGATTTTTTTTCTTTTTCTCTGCAGGCAGTGCACAAACGAGTCTGTGGTCCTGTGCTCAGTAGCAGACATAGGCCTTGATGCAGTGAATAAAAAGGAGATCTTATTGCCCAGCCCAGCCCTAGGTCCACTACGGTAAGAACATGCCACATGTACCTATTAATTACTTTAATGTGCAGTAAATAACGCACCTGGGTCTGAAGCCCTGTCTTCAAGGCTCAGGGCACCAGTTACTCGAGCTTGAGAACCTGCCTTGTGCCGTGTCTTTCTCAACCCCGCACTTCGGGGAGGCAGCTGGGGTGGGTGCGCAGGACACGCTGCTCCGCCAGCCGCACCGAGGACTCTGGTGCGATCATCCCTGCCCTGTGCCGAGAGGCAGGACGAGCTGCATCTTCAAACCGGTGAGCCCTTCCCAAGCGCTGCATTTGCCCTCTCCACGCTGGCCGAACAGGGCAGCGGCTGCGCTTGCTGTTGCGGAGCCGCCCGGCTCCCGGCCAGGGGCGGCGGTGGGGGGGTCTCTCACCGCCGCTCTCACGACGGAGCCGCGGCCGGCCCGGGACGCACCGGGGCTCTGGGCGGCTCCGCAGCTCCCGCCGCCTCGACTCCGCCTTGGCCCCGCACCCCGGCGGGCGGGGGGGACTGACGGGGGGCGGTGCCGGCTGGCGGGGAGAGGGCGCCGGCTGCGGCGGCGGGCACGGGGCTGCCACCCCGCGGGCAGGCACGGCGGCGGATGGCGGCAAGGTCAGTGGTCGCCCGCTCCCCGCCGGCGGGGCTCCTCTCGGCTGCCCCCGAGGGGGGCGGCGGGCGATGTTCGTGTGCGGTAGATGCAGCGGCGGGGCCGCCTTTCATTCCTCCTATTCACGGCGCGGCGGCGGGGAGCGGGGCCGGCGGGCGCGGATGCCCCCCGCCACGCCTCCCTCCCGGGCGAGGGGGAGCCGAGGGTTTCGTAACCGCCTGCCCGGCCTGGCCCCGCCGCACACGGCGGGTGCAGGCAGAGCGAGCAGCCTCTGCCAGGCGGAGCAGCAGCAGCAGCAGCCGCCGCTCCCCGGCTCCGCCGCCGCTCGGTCCCCCCGCGGGGAGGGCGAAGCCAAGGCGCGGTGCGAGGTGCAGGTGATCCGCTGAAACGTGCGCGGGGCTGCCCGGTGCTCGGCGCCTCCCGGGCGGGTGGCGGGGCGGGAAGGTTACTTTGAAACCCGGCGGGGTTGCGCCTGCACCGATCGCAGCGGCGTGGTTCGGAGAGGAGGAGGGTTCTCCTTGTGCTTCGCGAGCAAGTAAACCCAGATAACTTACAGACGGGGTGATTTTGGGTGGGTGTGTGGTGCGTCCTTTGGTTCTGTTAGAGGCTCGGTGTTGGTTCTGGGTTGGTGTTTTCTCCTTTTTTGGTTGATTCCCCCTCCCTCCCTTATGGCAGTTAGCGGAGAAGGTCCGCGGTAATTCGGGCGCTGTCACAAAGTGCCAGGCATCTCGCTGGGTTTTTAGGGAATAGCTTTATTTTTTTTTTCTTTTAAGCAGAGAAGAGAGGAGCAAAGCCCCTGCCCCCGGTAGCAGACCCGCTCTACGGAGTGGCAGCTTTCAGAGTTCGCCACGGTGTTGGTTAGGTGCTGCCACCCGGCTGAGGTCGAGCTACCGAAATATGATTTCGGAACCTTGCCGCCATCCATCACTCGGGTGCTGGGTTCCGACATGCCGTCCGGCGGAGGGAGTTCTTGGAAGCGGCTCTCTGCCTCCTCTGAGCTGTGGATACGCCTAGGATGTGTCGCTGTTAGGTGGGGAGGCATGAAGGGGTGTGTTTGTGTAATAGGTGTCTTAGAGAGGAAAAAAAAAAAAAAAAGCAAACAGGCTTTTGATAAGGTTCTATTAATTGAAGAATAAACACAGTAATTCTGTTGAACTACAAACACAGTTCTTGTTTCCTCTCTGAAACTCTTTTCCTCCTTCTCACTGATATGTTCCATGGCTGGTTTGTTTGTTTTTATAGTATGTTTCAGAGATCTTTCTTGATACAGAGTTGCTTTATGGTGTAGGTCTGGTCGAGGCCACTGGAAAATACTTGTAGCCTTCCAAGCTGTGATGTACCCGAAGGTCCTGTTTTCAGCCTTTCTGAACCCAGGCTGGGGTCACAGGCTTTTTTGAAATGCCCACTGGGTCTGAACTAATGCAGCGCTCATGGGATGATAATAATAGCAATTTAGGAAAAAGCCTTCTGCCGGGAACGCTGTTCTTGGCTATCTAACGGTGTGCAATTGGATCTCAGCTTCTTGTTAGATGCATGAAAGGCAAAAGGTAAAAAGTAGCCCTGGCCAAGGAGTACAGAGCTGGGACAGCCTGGGGTGTCCATAACCTTTGGGAAAGGGCTCTGTGCAAAATTTTCCCCATGCACATGCTGTTGTTGGCAGTATAGTTGAAAAGCCCAAACCTCTGAAACCTGTGAGCTCTGTTGGAGAGTTTGGACAGCTTGCTAGGCACGTGAAGGTGAAGATGTTTGTTTTCTATTGTTTGTCGTGGGAGAGGAAAGTTGGTTGGGCCACACATGGTGGAAGTTCTATGTGCACGTTATGAAGTATCTTTGGAAGTACTGGGCAGCGGAATATCCAGATTAGAAATGCCAGCAGGACAATAAATACAGTGTGTTTAAATTATACATGCAAATACAATAACTCAGAATAAGCCAGTCATCCAAGACACACTGTGGCTTAGCAGAGTGCACAGGGAATAGCAGGTAGATGCTTTTGGGTGCTGGTCACCCTTCCCAAAGTGACTCACTTGAGCCTCCAGCTTTGCCAGAATCTGTGGGTATGTTTTTGCCGGTACCTGTTCCTGGCTCCAGTTCAGGGTTCTCACCTTGACCCCTTGATGAACTGAAGCAGGAGCTCCATCAGCCACAGTCTGACAGATGGAGGCTTCAGCACAGTTTTAACTTTAGTCATGTGTGTTGTCCTAGTGACACAAAAGAGGGATGCTCACAAGCAAGCTTGCATGCAAGGGTAAACTCAGGGCTGCTTCTTGTAAGCTTCCCAGGGTGTGCAGTGCACAGCTTTTTTACTTGCACGGTGCTGAGAACAAATGCCATGTCATGTTTGGGTACAGTATGGAAGAGCTAACCTTACTTAGGACCAACACTGACAGAGCAGGAGCAGTGGTGCTTCTCTGCTGGAGTTTTATAGAGCATTAGTTTGCACATGGGAACTGAAGTCTTACTGGAAGCTAATGAAGCTTAGTTTCTTAAATGCTCATGCCATCTTATCCAGCAGAATTTAGCTTTCCAAGTCAGTGAAATGTTTTTCAGACTGTGGCCCCAATCAGTTGACAGTGCCTGGAGGATACAGGTCTAGAGGGGGCATATGATTTAGATGATACCCTGACCAGTTGGCATAACTACTGAAGACCAGGTGATGTGCGGTGTTGACCGCACAGCTGTTGACTCTGGGATCTGGCCTAGATGGTCTTACACTGCCTTCTGCCTACCTGTATTTATCAGCCAAAGTTCTGCAGCCCTTCTATACATCAAGTAGCAGTGATTCAGGCAAGTAGTTTCACTGGCTTGAGCATGGTTATTCAGCTGAGTAAATGGTGTGTGATCTGAGTTCAAGGCAGTAGATTTTGGGTGTGAGTGCTCTCTTTCTGTGGAGAATGTGGGAAACTAATTCCCAGAGCCTGGGATCCTGGCATGCCTTAAATTCTCTCCTGTTCTTATGCTTTGCCTCTATCCAGTGGGTGGGCTGGAAGTGAGATGGGAGGCTGGACTTCCACCCCCTTCACAGTAAGCAGCTCTTCCAGAGAAATTCCGCAGCTGTTTCAGAGTCTGTCCAGAGTTGCCTGCTTGCCTTCCTGGTGCTATTTTCTGCACAAATATGTTTGCTGCTGCTGCTGTGCTGGGCTCTGCGAAGAAAGGAGAGAAGCCGTTAGAACCAATGTAACTCTGTAGTATGGTCTGTCAAACCAGGTGGCATTAGAGGAAACCCTTGCAGCCCTTCCCAGCACCAGCTACTTGTGGAGCATCTCCCCACATTCTGATCCTGGGAGGGCAAGGGCTGGTCCAGCCACAGCAGAGTTGACTCCTGCCTCAAAGGCACCTCTTGGTGTGAGACCCAGTGGCCAAGCGCCAGCAGTGTGTGCTGAGGGACGCTGTGGATGGTGAGGAAAGATGCTGAAATCTCTGGGATGAGATCACCTCCAGGGCTAGGGCTTGTGAAGGAGAGAGGAGCCCCAACAGCTTCCATGCTTAGGGCTGAATAATAGTCCTTCAGCCCTCAGGGGGTATTTCACCTCTTTCAGATGCAAATGACCTTGCTGTCCCCATCCTCCTACTTCAGAAACTACCCTTTCAGAATAACCTTCAGCTGTAAATGAGTTTGTAATTTGCCCCTTCCTGCTCCAAATGCACAGAAACTGGGCAGTTACAGAGTTTAACTGCAGCATGTGTTGTGCTGCTCGCAGGCTAGATTAAGGTGATGTTTCCTGGGACATAGTGGAACATTGAGACACCACTAATCAAATGCACCATAGTTTTCATCTGGTTTTATTTTATTTCATTTTAACTTAGTTTCCCCAGGAAACAAGTGCTGTCTGTCTCCTGCCTCTTGCGTTTGGCCAGTTCCAACCAGATTGCACCAATGGTTGGCAGTCTTGAAGATCATTAGTTTCCCACTTGTTTTTGTACGGATTAGTGCCTGGCTGGGCAATCTTTGAAGCAATGCTCTCTCTGAAGAGAAAGGAGACAGCTTTCACCTAGTCTCCAGTCTGACTGATAGCAGCTGCCCAGCCAGGCATTGCACGTGTGGTGGTGATCAAACAGGCAGCAGCTTTGTAGCCCTTGCCACCTTGCAAGGTGTGTGTAGTCTCCAGGGGAGAAGGTTTGGGCAATATTGTAGGGAGCTGCAGTGGAGGGGTAGGGGGGCAGAGGACACAGATCTCCATCAGACGGGGCCTGTTTGTTATTCCTCCTTGTGGTGCTGTTACCCTTTTATTTGTCAAGCCACTTGAGATTTAGGAAGGCTGGCAGGCTGACAGCCATGGCTTGGAGCTTCCTTTCCTTGACCTCCAGGACACCTTGGGCTGAACGGAGGTGGGTATCGGAGCAGACGGGAATGTGCAGCCTGGGCAGGACTTTGCAGAGGGGTGTGTGTGCGCAAACTTGAAGTGTGCAATGGCAGCGTGGTTATCTGGGTGTTCACCAGCGTCATCCTGTTGACTTAAATGTTAATTTGACACTGATGAGAAGGTGGCATTCAGAGCTGTACGTTTCTCTCAAAATAATTTCTGTGAGTGAAAACAGCCTGTGATCCCCACACAGCCCCTCCCCACAGGTACTTTAGGCAGGTATGTACCTGGGCAGATGCAGTGCTGTGAGATGTTTGGGACATGCTTTTGTTTTGCTAAGCACCTCTGTGTAGATGCAGCTGGTGTGGCATGGGTGTTGGGTGGTTTGCCTCAGGAATCTGGGCAAAGCTATACTAGGAAAAGCAGCCTTGCCCTCACCCAGGCAGTGCCTGTGCTAGACAGCTTTTCAGTATAGCTGTGCTGGGTGCGATGGGCACATTTCTTCCAGACCTGGACTGAAGAAAAAGACCAGCATCTGCTCAGGCAGTGGCATAAGAAATAGGGTGTTGAGGAGCATACATGGGATGCACACTGCCGTTCTTCAGCCAGTGCATGTTTTGTTACCTTCTTTGTTGCTGCTGAGTTTCAGGCAATACATGCCTGTTTGTCCTGGGGCATAGAGCGTGGCTCTTCTGAGATTGCCAGTGTTGCTCTGTAATGTCAAATACTAAGTGTCACCCTAGAGGGCTGAGCTGAATCTCAAGCACCCGTATGCCACTTCTTTTCAGGCAGCCTGTGATGCAGCTGGGATCAGATGCATCTGTCAAGGTGAGATGAAGGGAGGAGCTGCGTAGCTGTATAACCCATTATGGGTTATGGAGGATGTGGAGCACTAAGCCATGCCACCAGGGCAAAGGGGGACACTACTCCCTCTCCTGCCACACAAACTGCCTGCCAGAAGCAGGGCTGGACATCTTTGGCGTCAGATCATAAGTCTCTGCACCACAGAGATGAAGGAGAATGTGTTTGGCTTCCCTTACTTTTCCCTCTGGGCATCAACTCATACCATGGGCAGCACGGCATGGTGGATGACTGTGGTAGCTAAGAATGGGCTCTGAGGCTCGGACCATACATCCTGTGCATATCCCTCCTCTGACACCACTGGCCACCCAAGCTTCAGTGTGAGAAATCCTGAAACAGGCAGTTGTGGAGTAAAATGCTGCTGTAACATTTCTGCCTGTTCTTCGTAACTGTATAATGCTAACTGTATACATTTAATGCTGTCGTAGTGCTTTCTCCATTAGGTTTTAAACCAAATTGAGTGGGTTGCATGTCAAAGGGGAAGGATTGCAATGCTTCCACCACCATGACTGACTTTTCCATGATGGAGCTTTTCCTGACGATGTGGACTGGAGAGAGCTGGTATGACCTGAGAGCATGGGACACTGCAGGTTCTGACTGGCTGCAGCTCACAGGCTTTGTAGGATCTGCTCTCCATGGGGATGGGGAAAGATGGAAGTGAAGCTGGGTTTGTTAGCAACAAGAGAGTGTGTGAAGTTTGTACTGTAAAGCTGCCAGCAACCCTTAGACAAGGTAAAATTACTACTCTAGAAGAAAGGGAGTGTGTGTATGTGAACAAATGGGGGCACACAAAGACAAATAAGAGTATAAAGCGCAAAGCAAGCATGCTATTAGATGCACTGCCTCTTGCCATATCCTCTGCAAATAAAACAAGTTAGGTTGTTGGCATTGCAGCTGCTTTTCCTCCTGAAGGTAGCATGGTGAGCCAGGCGCATCTGACTCTGAGAAATGTGCTGGCAATTTGCCTGAAGTCTGAGGTGGGCAGGGTAATTTACTTAAAAACTCTGACATAACAATTATCATCCAGGATGAACACATACAACCATAATGTTTGCTTGCAGTTGTATTTTTTCTATGACACACTCTCAGGAGTTGCTCATTGGATGCATTCAGCAGCAAACACAGCCTGGAGGTGATCAGCTTCTTCCCTGACCTACAGTTAACAGCAATAATTATACTTCAACAAGTTTTAATGTGGGAGGTAGGGATTCAACAGCTTGGGCAGAAGGCAGTCAGTGGGGTCATTTGAGGTCCAAGCTTTGGGGAGCTTTCCTTTTGACCTTGGGCAAAGCACATCAGCTGCTCAGTGATTCTGCTCTTTAAATCTGATCTGTTCCAATTGGTTTCAGAGCAATTGATTAATATTAGACATGGTTCTCCGAGAGAACCCCCAGATCTCCAAATGTTAGTGCATGGGACTGAAGTTCAAATATAGCTTCCCTCTCTCGTCCCTGCTCTTTACCTCAGAGCAGGAAGAAAGTGAGCCATTCACAGCCATCTGCTGGAAGCATCAATCATGCTGGGAGCAGAGTCTGTCAGTTGTTCCATATGTTATTAATGATGAAAAGATATAAACATATGAGCTCATAATTATGTTACATTAAAACTACTTACAAAATAATGACATTAGGAGAACAATGGGGTTATGAAATCACGCGGACAGAAGCAAGGATGTGCCAGGACTAACGTTGCATAGCTCCCCTTTGCATCTGCATTATGATGCAATCTTTAATTCTATAATTGCATCATTTTTTCCCTTTCACAGAGTCCCTCTTTCAGTGGATGGGTAATTACTGCATAATTCATTTTATCTTCCCCTCATGTACTTTCTGTGTGTGTCCCCACATCTGTTTATTTTACGCTCCACCCAAACCTTGAACTGAGCAGTGCTGCCAGTGCCTTCCTGGGGGCTTTGCAGGTGGGGAAGTTCTTATTCTTGCAGCATCCCAGGTACAGGCACTGTCTTCATTTTCATAGCTGAAGAATGGAGGCAAGGAGCAAATAAAGCTCAACTGATTGAAATGCCTTCAGTTATGGCTGCTTGAAATGATACTTAGGGAGGAGTTTATTTCTCACTCACTCCAGAATGCCTGGCATGATGTACCAGTTCATTTGCCGAAGCACAAGGACAATTGACCTCAGCTTTATCTTTAGCACTCTTGTAGGTTAGTCTGAGTTGTCTTAGCTTTGCACAGGTGGAGACTGTCCTGATAGGGGTCACCTGAATTAAAACTAGTTTCAGGGATTTGCTGAGCATCTTGCAGACTGTGGAGTGGAGAAAGAGGTAATTCCTGCCTGCAGGTGCTACGTCCAGCTTCCTTAAGCAAGGGAGTTGTGTTTTTCTTCCTGAGTTGCCTTGTTTGCTGATCTTCCCGACCTGGGTGAGGCAGTGGTCTGAGACAGCAGTTTATTTTACCACACAACCATGTCTTTTTCCAAAAGTTGTTCATTTCCACGCTCAAATGATTTCCAAACATTGTATTGGAGACAGAATCGGTGCAGACATGTATGGGACCTGGGTTAAGATTGTATGGGCAATGTTCATTATGATACCTCTTAATTTTGAGTGCTGAAGTTTGCAATCTTTGTATAAAAAAAATTAACATAACTGTGTTTAAACATAATTTTATAACTGTACAAAGGGAAAAGGTGGAGATAAAAATTAGTCCTGTCACATGAATCTGCAGTGGCCTAGGTCATCTAGAGGGTGAAGACCTTTGGGCTGTAGCATTAATTTCTAATCCATAAGGGCACTGTTTGGCTGTGGATAATGGTAGTTGCCAGAGAGGGGTGGCATGTTCAGCAGGTCATCTGCTGCTGTACTGGGGGTTTTGCAGCCCAGACTAGGATACCCTCAGATCCCATTTAAGGATGGAGCTTGTAGAGCTCTGGTGCTTTCCAAGTCCTCTCTGATTTGCCTGTGTCTGTCCTGCTCTTCCCTCTGTGGCAGCCTAGTTTCTCATCCCCTTGAACTCCTCCTTCCCGGTTCCCCCTTCTTCCTCTCAATTCCTGTACATCCCTAACAAATGTCACCTTCTTCTCCCATTGCTTTCTTGTACCACCGCTCTAGCCTGTGCCCATCTTTTGTTACTGCTGGTGCCACCTATAATTTTCCAGAGGTAATTTTCCAGAGGTATAATTTTCCTAGGTGCCCTGGTAGGGTTGTGTACAGTCTTGGTTCCAATTTAGATCTATAATTTTTGCTTGCTTGAAACTGCAGGTAAAGCCCAGCCCAGTACCTTTGTAGGAAGCATTTTAGGGGATTAATCTTCCTTACTTTCAGTCCAGAGCCATTATTGTGGGCATTCTCTGAGATGAGACAATGGATAAACAGCTTCTTCAGACCAACTCTACAAAAAAGGTTTACACCTAAAGAATGTGCTGCTTTCTGCCCCATTTCTCAGCATGTCATTTTATGCAGTCTTGTTTGATCCCACCTACGTTCTACAATTAAGCCTAGGTGGATGTGTCATTTTATGGGCTTGAATATGTGATAGAATTTACATCAGTTCATAGAGTGAGAAGACTGGCTGCTTGTGATTTTTTGTTTTCTGGGAATGAATAGAAACATGATAGTTCAAGCAGGAGTGTGCAGATTGAGAGGCTGGGCTTCCAGCTGAAATGCAAGTTGGTGCAGCTCAGCTGCTTCCCGGAGAAGTGATGTCTGTAATCCCAGCAAGCCATTAGATGCTTTTGGCCTGCATGTCAGTCTCCTGACCAATTTACAGTGAATTTCTTCTTATAGCTTTGTTCATAGGAGGGGAAGGCTGTTGTTATAAACCTCATGCTGCAATAAGAGAAGATGAAGCAGAGATTTCTGATTATGTTCAGATGAGTATAACTATTTGCCTTTTTCATGTCCTTTGGGTTTTTTTTTTTTTTGTTTGTTTGTTTCATTAAAGTAGATGAGGAAAGCTGGATAATACTAGCAAAGAAAATACATTTGCCAAGAAAATCTGGTCTTGGAACAGACCAGGCTCACCTGCAATGAAACAGTTGGGATGAGAATGATTTTAAAGTTAGATTTGTGTTCTTTGGAGTTTGTGATATAAATCATGGCCATGATACATATAAACCACGTCAAACTAGGTCATAAGGTAATAACAAAACAGTGTCTTAAAAATTTCCAATTGACTCAATGAATTGTGCACCTTTATAAAATAATTAATAAGCCAGATGTCAAAAATGGCACCAGCCAATTCTCCCTGCATTACCACTGTGTGTAAGTCCAAGAACTAGTATCTAAGTATTGAACTTCACCTATTTGAAAAGGAGAAACTACTAAAAGCATGGACTGGTTTTCAGCTGTGGTCTGAAGGTACTTGGGAGCCACGGATGTTAGTCTGTGAAAGGTAACTCTGAGAAATGTCTTGTGTCAGTGGAGGGATCTACACATCTTTCAGAATTTGGGGGGAAAAAAAAAAGATTGTACATCACTGGCCTAGCCATCTCCCGCTTGGAAGGTGGTGGTGAGTCTGCATGCCAAGGATCTGGTCTGGTGTTTGTGTAGGCACTAGGTAATCCCTGACACAACCTTGTTCTCTGTATTTTGTGTGTGTGGTTTTCTATTGAAGCAAGCATGTTTAGGCAGATCTTCAGCACCATAAGTTGCCATGGCTCCCCTGGGAAAGCAGCAGCTTTCTGGGGTAGCCCCCATGCTGGCTATCCCCCACTGGCCTCTCTTCACCCTTGGTTTACCTCCTCCTCTCTTCCTCACAGCATCTGTGTTTGGATGCTGAGAGGCAGGGACAGGGCTTCAAAAAAGCTGGCTCAGCAGAGGAGGTGGAGAGCCAGCTGATGCCAGTATTAATATTCTTTCAAAATTGATGGATGAGACGATTATAAAATTGCAGAGGAAAGTGAAACTTAGCGGAAGCCATGTTTTAATTGCATTCTGCATTTTCCTCAGCAGCCAGCCTCTGAGGTGCAGGATGGATTGAGCCATTTTGTGAGGATGTTGATGCAAACTGCACGATGTATTGTTTCTAAGAAAGAAAAAGAAAAAGCTGGGGCCAGTCTGTTTTTCACACTCTGGTGCTCTCAGTCTTCCTCAGCTGTCCTGCATGGTATCATGCTGTGTCTAGACAGTGAATCAGACCTGAAATACTGTCTTGATGCAGCTAGAGAGAAAAAGAGCCTATTGCAAGTATCTGTGGTGTCAAGGTGCCCAAGCCTGTGAGGGATATTTAGGTGCTGGGCTTTAAGTTTTCCCTGTGTGCCTTTTATTACTGCGGAGAGGAATGAGGATGCTGAAGCCATTTGGCTTGTGGTGACCTGCAGTGTGGGTCCATGTTTCCTCCCTGCTGGACACCAGCCTTCTGGCAACTGATCCCTGCTTGCCTCTAACTTGGAGAAAGATCCCTTTCCAGCTGATGAAGGCCCCTGCTCAGTCTGAGTAGCATTCCAAAATGGTTGGCCTGCCTTACAGTGGAAGGGTTCTTGCACTTCAGTTTACATACTTCTTTCTAGTTTTTCTTGTTACTACTCTTTGTTTCTGGTAGGAGGAACACCTTCCTGGGTCCCTGATCTGTCTACACTGAATGTCAGGTGCAGACACATCATTCACGAGCAGGGATAGAGGCTGAATGTATGCTGCACCCTTCAGGGTTGTTTCTGCCCTGGTTGTGTCTATGGCTGAGCTGCTGTCACTGGTACAGCTACCTTTGCTTCATGGGTCCATTTTGAACCCTGCAGTATGTAGAGAAGGACCACAAGCATGCAGTGAAGTGTGCTTTTAGGCTGTTCATGAGACAGCAGTTCATTTTTAATTTGATGCCTTTGCCAAATGTCATTCAATAATTTTGGTAGGCTGGCTTGCATGACTGGAGTGTCTTTGTGCCATAAGTTGTGCAGTCTTGATAGCCGCTGTGGTCAAACACTTTCCTCTGAGCAGAAGTAGTATGTTTAGGTGGCCTGCAAAGCAAAGGGGAAAGCTCTGACAATAGGAAAATAATGATTTGGGGCATACTGGATGTTGGTGAGCTGGAAGCAGTAGATAGCTAACGTCTAATGAGTGCTGTCTTGAAAATATGGGCCAGATGTTTGTATGCTGCTTGAGGTTTTCTCCTGGACAGGTGTTTTGCTTGAGTATGCTTCTTGCAGGATCGGACCAAAGCACTCTCCACCCAATTTTGTTTTCCTTCAGGCATTAAACAGTTTTCTTTGTAGCATTTTTCTTTGGCCTTTCTCTCCTCTGGGACTATAGCTTCCCTCCTCAGCCTCCTTAACCCAGCCATAACTCGCCCTAATTGTGCATATTTTGAACAAAGCATACGTGTAGGTGGTTTAGTTAAGAGGAGAAAGCATTAGTCTTTTCTCTTGACTGATCCTGCTTTCTCCCAAGTCAAAAGCTGAGGAAGAGACACTGTTCAAGATGTTCCTGCTCAGGAATGGACTCTTTAATGTCCAAGTCTCACAAGTCCTGGTATCTTCAGCCTTATGCTTCCATCAGCTGCAGGTAAAGCTTCTTAAGAGGAGGTATGCTCAGGGGCTTGGAGGGCAGCTCTATTTCTAAAAGTGAGTAATTTGGGGTGGAGATGTTCTGCCTGAGTGCTTTTAGTGTGTCTGTTCTCTCCCTCTATCTCATGCCTCTAGAAGATTTTCTGGGGTCTGATGGGAATGTGGAGGTGCAGGAGCTGCTTGCTTATCTCCCTGGTACAGTGGCTGCAATCCGAGTGGTGAGGGGCAAAAGTTATTCCCTCTTGCTGCGTTTCTTGCTCTGATGTTGGTTGGTATTTTGACGGCTTCAAGCTAACACGAGGGAAGGTAGCACACTAAAAAGCTGGACTGCTGTGGGAGGAGGTTTCTTCTGTTCTCAAAGGTGGTGTCCTTGCAAGGTGGTAAAATGGGTTTGTGAGTTGTGGTTGCAATCCCTGTGAGTTACAGCAGTGCCTTGGCTGAGCAGGTGGCAAGTAATGAAGGTGAGCAGCAGATCACGACAGCCTTCTGACATCCTGAAAGAGCTGAAATCTTTGTGGTGTTTACTCTGAAAATATTCTCTCTGCCTTTCCAGAAGCACACTGTTTACATGCGCACAAACTTTGGGGTTTTGCAGTGTATGCACTTGCGTTTTTTGTGCTTTGAACACAGCTGGTAATGCTGATAGGAGTATTTCTATTGTACAAACACTTGCTGCTTAGAAGGTAGAAATTGCTGAGAGTGGCACTGGAAGCCCAGCAATTCTCCCTTTAGCAAGGAAGGGAGCTGTCGGCAGCTGAGCTGTCCTCGGCAATGCATGCATGTGTGCTCACAGCAGGACTGGGGGTGCTGAAGTGCTGGTGTTGTTATCTGGAATGTTTAAATTCCTTAAGATTATTTTTTTTCCTAGCAATACTTTCAAAAAATAATTATTTAAAAGTATAAACCTCAATTATGCTATTTTGCAGATGCTTGGGAGCCTGTTTTCTTCCTTTCGCCACGGTAGATCTGTTAACGTCAGTGACTACAGCTTGAAGTAGCTTGCCCAGGTATAACTTGTCTTCGCTTTTGTGGGATTAAGGCTTTTATGGTACTCTTTGACCTGATTGTTGCAGAATTTCCTTTTATTTACTGTACTGTTCTGTATGCCAGTTTTCCTGTAAATGTTATGTGAATGGGGAGTGTGGGCCTGATACCAAGGGTAAGGGGCTAAGAAATATATGTATCTTTTTATTTTGGAACTCTTGTGATCTGTGCTTGTCTGGCAGGGTGGTAATGAAGCTTCACAGAAAAATGCCTTTTTCATAATTTGATTTCAAAGTGCTCTAACGGGGTCCATCCTCAGCTTCAGGCATGGCAAGCAACACACCAGAGCCAGGGTCCATCCAGCAGCAGGAGATGGGGACAGAGACAGAGCTAGGGACATGGCTGCAGGCATGAGCCTGAGGACCATCCAGGGACAGGGCTGGAGAACAATGCTATGGCATCCTTGCAGCAGGGAGTGATGGCCCTGGGGGGGCTAAAACAAGGTCCTGCTTTTATTTTTTGAGTGCCAGTCTAGTGCTCTAGCCATGTTCTGTTGCTTATTCAGTGTTTTGTTTTAGGAGGCCTGAAGGTATGTTGCTGTAGCTGAACAATGCCTCCTCCTTGAGATCACTGCATCTGCAGTATGTGGCTGTTCTGTGTGTGCAGAGCTGGGGACAGAAGTGCTTGTTAGCCTTTATGGTAGCTGAGGGATCACTCAGGCTCCCGATACATGGCTGTGCTCATGGCTGCTGCAGCGTGACGTGCCTAGTGTCGTCATGCTGATGAAATTTCAGAGACCTGGCAGCTTTTGCATCCAGGGCTGTGCAACCTAAGGGCATATTTAAGCCAGAGAAGATGCTTGATGGGAGGCCAAGATGGTTATCTGCATTACTGATGAGATGATTAATAGACTGTGTTCATGGTTCTCATTAGAGACCTCTGGAAGATTGGAATCAAACAGAGAGGGTGTATATATATATGTGTGTGTGTGTGTGTGTGTGTGTGTGTGTGTGTGTGTGTGTGTGTAATTTATGAGGTCTGCTGCGCAAACCTCTTAATATCCTTATTTGTCATCTTCCACACAGGGAAGTGGGGAAAGGAAGCTGGGAAATGCAAATTGTGCTGTGTGCTCTCAAACAGAAACAAAGGTGGCTGTATCATGCTTTCTGCAGAGGCTCAATGCTCCTGGGTGCTGATGTCACCATGGATCATCAGCAGGGCCAGTGTAGGAAGAGTGCAGGGGGATCTGATTTTCATACCCTCTGATGTTAGTTTAGAATTGATAATTGGCTTCCTTTATATGGAAATGTCTTTATAGGTAAAATAAATCAAAGGACCAGGTTTTTGGCCCAAATCTATTTTAATTATTTGTTGCATGCTCAGCTGACTGAATGAGTCCAAACAGAAAACGCGATTTCCCAAGTCAGAAAACTTCCACAAAAAAAATGTATTCCACCTGCTTTTTACATTTAAAAGCCAAATATTAAAAGGTCCCTCTTTTCTACTTCTCTCACCCTCCTTCTTCTATGTTTCTCTTAGTGGTAAAAGGTTCAAGGAAAGGAAAGATTGTGTGGGTTCTCACACATGCATGTATGGAGGAAAGCCCGAAATATATGGATATTGTTGACTTAGCACAAAAAAGCTAGTGAAAATGAGTGATTTATGTAAACTTTTATGAAAAGCGTGCATTTAGTAACTGGCAGTGACTTTACAAGTTAATTCTATTTTGTATTCTGCAGGTACATAAACATAGCTTTGAATCTCTGTTTTTTTGCCCTTGCTTATCCTTTTCTAACTACAGCACGGTTGCATTGATTTAAAACTAGTTTAGGGTATTGGACAGCCATGTCCAACTATTTCTCTATGAGCTCACTACCTCTTATCTAACATTTGTTAGTACCACAGGTGGTGGCAACTACCATCTCCAAAGTATGCCATGCACTTCGAGTGACTTGACCTGCCTGCTGCTTCACTTTCCCTTCGTCCCAGTTCAGGAGCCTCTCTTCTCCATTTTGTTCATAATGCATGGGTCTGAGCAAAAGCCAGCAACTGCATTCTGAGAATCATTGGTATGATATGCTGCATACTCTCTCCATGTATCAGCTTCCCTCTTTTCCAAATCAGATTAAAGAGGATAAGGTGCAGATTCTATTTGATTTCAGCATGGCTAGCTTATTTAGTAGAAGATGCGAGGAACACATGCAGTTATCTAGGTGGATGAAAATATCAACATTGTTTCAGTAATGTCACACATGACAGAAATTCTAACCTTCTGTGTGAAATAAATGTGTCTCTTCGAGGAGAAGAATATCCTTGACAGTACTTTTAAAAGCTATTGGGACATTGTGGGTTAAATAAATACCTCTGACCACATTACCTTTTTATGTTCTTTTCTTGCCACTTTTCTGATTGCAGACAAGATATGCAGGCAAGAAGCAAAAGAAAAACAGAAGTCAGATAAAGGAGCAGCTAGTGTGTTTGGGATTTTGTTTGCTTTACTTCTTCAGTGCATCTTTCTTGTCTGCATCTCATTCCTGGCAGTGTTTTGTGACCTCCACTGGATTCCATCAGTGTTCTCGACTCAGAACCCCCCAGAATAGGTAGAAAGCTGCAAGTTTTCTACTGAAAGCACTTAACTGCCCAAAAGAAGCGGCATCTAGCAGCGGCTCTTCCTGTTTTCTCCCATGTTGGTGACCATTGTGGGAAATTGTTTAAACCATTTAAACTTTACTGCAAAATGAAAAAAATAGAACACAAAATCTTCAACATTTGATTACAAGGAGGACTGACCACTACTATTCCTCCTTAGGACACTCCCTCATTCACTGCTGGCCTTATATTAGTACATTTTAAAAGGTTTTGAAGATCAGCTTCACCTGGAAAGACAGCTGTGGTTTGGTTGTAGTGCATTATTCTCACGTATCAGGATCCATGCGTTTAGGCTCTGAAGCTTGAATATTCTTGGAACATATTTGAAGTGAAACCTGAAGTCACTTACACATTAGCTAAAGAAGAAAATGTCTTAGGCCACTGCAATAATCATAAACAGAAGAAATACAGGTTTTGTAATTCTTTAGTGCTGCATTAAAGGAAAATGCTGAACATGTTTCCTTGGTAAGCAACCAGTTTGTGAACTGTATTTTAGTACTATTTTTGTGAATGTCCTCAATTCATCAGCTCCTGTTCTAAGATTGATTGCTGGCACCTTAACTTCTGCAACCAGAAAGCGAGAAGAAAGAGGCTTGTAGGAGTAGCAATTTCAGGAGATTGTTTGGAATCTCAAACCGCTTATTAGGTTTGTTTGAATTATCGGGTGTTGTATTTGGTTCCTAGTATTTTGTTTCAGAAGTACATAATATATAAATTTGATTAAATAGTGCTCATACACTTTCCATCAGTCTTTTGGGTGGATTTTCTAGCTTCTTAAAGCAAAAAAACCTGCAGGTATTGGCAAAATCTCTTCCTGTGTATGGTGCAAAATAGTTCTGTTCTAGCAAAGGGAAAGACTAGTAGGTGTGCTGCACCTCCCAGATATGTACAGGTCTCTGTGCCTGTTTGAGAAGACAAACACATGAATTAGCCATTCCTTCATCACAGTACAAAAGTTTTTCTTTCACTGTGTCTTGGCTGCAACTGCACAACCTACTTAAAGACCTCACATCAGTAGAGGAAGGCAAAATGTCTCATCCACCTGTCCTTACATATTAAGAAAGGGTGATTGGCATCCAGAAGGTACAAACACCATCCTGCAACCCCAGGAAAGCTAGAGAAGCAGTGGCCTGAAGTCTGTACATTGCCAGCTTCCTATGTCTTAAGATTGCAGTGGCTGTTTGGAAGCAATGAAAATAGATGGCCATGTGCCCAGTGCAAGAAATTATTAACTCCACTGTATTTCTTTTTATAGTGAAATTGCATTTTTACTTCTCCACTAGAGATACTTTAGCAGGATACAAACCCAGCAAAGCATTTATTTTCGTGGACATAGTGACTGGCACAGATGTGATGAAACTATCTACTCTCTTGATGAAAGCAGCCTGAGCTGGTAATACTGCAGTTTTGCAACCTCTCTAAGGAAATTTGGCAGTTAAGCTGTAGTGGATGGACATTGTATTTCTTTATGCTCCAGACTGGCATTGCAGTGCAGGAAAAGGTATGTTGGACAGGCATAACTTTAGCAAAGTTACGTGACCGTGATTTTGGAGTAAACCATGGGATTAATAACTACCTAGATAATAGAGTATTATTTGATGGCAACTTGATTTTGCTTTTTACTGACTTAGAAATAGGAACACCTAAGATTTGAGTCATATTTTTAGAGGCGTTTTAACAGGTCTTTGAAAATTGTGGGTGCATTTCACTGCATTAAAGTTAATATGCATGTAAAAGTTTGAGAGCACTAAGGCTGTTTGTGCTTGTGAATTGGGCAGTCGGTGGCTTGGCTGCCTACATTTTGTGTTTGCATGCAAAATAATTTGCCCTAGCAATAAACCATTCCGTGTGCATACAGCTTGTGTTATAAGTAATCTTCATGCAGACAAATTAGATCTGGGAAATGTAGGAGGCTATGTAGGTAAGACTGGATACTTGCTGGAGGCTGCTAGATTGTGTCTTGTCTTAAAAACAGAAGGGTTAAAAAAAGACTGAGTGGAGAGGGTGGGGGTGACCTGGTTATTGTAGTTGGGATCCAGTCCACTTCAATTCATGCAGGGCACTGTTGATGTTAGAGAATTATGCAGGGCTCTGTTTCAACTGGTCTCCGAAATGACTCAGTGTAAGAACTGACAGGTCATGTGGATCTTTTTTTTTTAGAGTAGACCTGTTTGACTAATTAGGCTGTTATGTGTCCTAGTATTAGTTCAGCATGCTCAGAGTTACTGCTAAGAGTTCAACCTTTAATTTTCTGCCAGAAGCAACTTCCCTTCAAGATTCAGAGATGTACAGCAGTTGTCATTAGAGATTGTTACATATTAAACCCCAAAGCACTGTAGAAATTATGGAGGCAGGAAAGACGCTGCAGAAAGTAGGAGGGGAATTAATTATATGACAAGAGCCATACTGAACAAGTGGATGGCTTAGCACTCAGTGTCACGGGGAGAAGATCGATTGTATTGGTGTTTAGTAACTACTTTCACCAAATCTGTTTATGTGCATATAATGTACATATAAAAATTACTGCTGCTGTGGTTATGTGTAATGGCTTACTACGTATTTGTTTGAAGAAAGCAACAGAGAATGTGACTTCCAGACTCCTATTTCTTTTGCTCATTACAAGTATTCAGTTCCTCCCTCTCCACCCCCAGGCACTTGAAATGTTGCTTGCGCCTTATCTATATTGCCCTTGCTTCCTGCTTGCTCTCTGTCCCTACCCCCCACCTCCTGTTCCTGCCCTAGCCTCCAGCTCCCATAGGGAGTCCAGTGTCTTTTGTCCTGCTTTCTACATTCTCTACATACTCTTCTTAATCTTCAGTAATGCACAAATAAGGCACTTTTTTTAGTTTCTCCTTAATTTCTGCAGCATATCTTAGAAATACTGTTTTTTTAAATAATTATAAGGTCTTTGTCCAGTGTTTCTTTCCAGATACTGTAGAGGATGGGTAGAGACCTTGGGAAAAGAGTATTTCTACAAGGAAACTCTTTTCTTATAAATCGTGCCAACCTTTACATGGCAGAAAAAAATCTTCATCTCTGCAAGCCAATGAAGAGACGAAGGTTTTACTGAGGTTCAGATTCTTAGGTTTTATATATAGAAAGTTTGTGTCCACTAAGGAAAAGCCTTTATCTGTCATATACTGTTGACAGCTTAAAGTCCAGAGGCAAGAATCATGTCTGGAAGTGTGAGGCTGGGTGCCTGTGAGAGGGCTCTGTCTCACAACTGTGTCTTCATACTGCTAGACCTGGGGCAATATGATCAGATTAGCCAGGACATGCAGTGGGATGGTTTTTGTGATTTTTCTTTTTTTTTTTTTTTTATGATCGCAGGAAGACATGAGAACTACCTGACTGGTCAGAAAATCTCCTGGGCAAACACATTTAACCAGCAAAAGGAGTTTGAAGTGATGCTATGTTGTACGCCAGTGCTATCTGTGAATGTGTGTGTTGGGTGCGTTGGGTGCCTCAAGATCAGCTTTGCTTTTCTGTGACACACCAGCCATGCGCCAGTGAAGGTTGCAGGGTGGCACTGGGGGTCTATTTATCCCAGAATAATGTTCAGCTTGGTGTTCTTCCCCAGAACAAGAGTGGCTTGTTTTTCTGTTGGTTTTTGATCCAGAAGAAGTAACCCCCACCATCAGTGAACCACTGCGTGGGTGTCTGTCATACATGACATGTCCCAAGAACACCTCACGCCCAGCTTAGCAGTGGTGGCCAGTGTTTGAGTCCAAAGCAGTTCTTTCCCTTTGAACTGTGCCTGATGTTGCTGCAGTCTAAGCTAAACTTAAGCCTCTTGAATACTAGCTTAGCTAACTTGTTCTCTGAGACTATTCAGTCTTCCCAGTCAAGGCAAACATCATTTCATTCCCCCTCTCCAAAGACAGTTGTTACTTGCTGCTTTTTTCTTTTTTTTCCTCCAGGATTAACAACTCTCAGTGGCACCTCCGGTAATGTTTCATTGCCATGCAAAAGGAGGAAAGCACTTTGTCAGCAGCCTACTTCAGGCAGAGAAATTTATATCTGTGAGAAGCATATGTACAGAGCAGCAATTACTCAGATCATCAATATTTATACAGCAGATAATAGTCATCATGGACAAGATGAATATTGTCACAACAGCAGTAGCTGCTTGGGGGGGGGGGAATGTAAAATATAATTGCTGGGTTTCTTTAAACAGGGTAATTATTTAACTTTCAAGTGATTGGTGAAGATAGCTTGAAGTCTGAATTAGATGTTCAATGGGAGTTCATCTGCTTCTAGGAAGTAAAGGAAATGCCCTTCCTCTCTACCCTCATGTCACATGGTGAAAACTGCCTGGGATGTCATCCTTTACTCTAGTGGCTTTTGCTGAAGGCAATGCTGGTGCCAGTTGCTGAATGAGGAATCATAAGCGATAACAAACAAATCAACCAACAAGAATAAGCAGCTTTTTTTGCAAACAAATTTTTGTTAAGTTTGATGTGGATGGACGTGCATTTGTGTTGAGATGGTGGTATGGTTGCTCATGCTTTGATTTTAAAAGCCATACCTCAGTGCCGGTGGAAGGTAGCCATCCTTAGCGTGCGCTCTTTCCCAGAGCTTTCCAGCATCCTACACACTAGCTGATGTGACACTGGTTGCCTTGGTGGTGCCTGGCTGGACAGGCAGCCCAGTGAGTCCCTGTCCTGGCTCCCGCTTGACAAATGTCTGATTGTGCAGGAGATGCAATTCCAGATTTCTGCAAAGAGAACATCTCCTTCCACCCACCTTTTTTAACCTTTATATGTTGGTGTGATTATTTGGAGGCTTACCTTCACTGGCAAGAAAGTCTGCTGGGTTGCCCTGTTTTTGAGAAGTATTGAATTGAGAGCTACCTGTGCTGCTATCTGTTTGCTACAGAATAATTTACTTGCTGACTTTTGTCTTCTGCTTGTGAAATGCCTCTGCATAGTTCCATTCTTCCTTTGTACCGACCTACTCTTCAGACGTGACTATCTGAGTACTTGAACTCTTGCACCCCCCTGGACTTCTGTCACTTGAGGGGAAACAGTGGCTATCAGCATACAGCACTTGATGTTCAGAGTTTAGCTCAGTTGGGTTGGCTGTCATTTACAATCTCACAGCTCAAAGTTTTCAAAACACTGAAGCAACTCAAGAACATTTTCAACAGAGTAAATCCATAGAAGACCTATGAAACTTCCAGGCACTGTATTTTATGGGAAATTCTATTCAGATAATGAGGCTTCTTCTGTGATGCCAGGAGAAAAATTGACCTAAGAGTGAGATTTGCAAAAGCTGACATCCCAAATGATGGGTTGGCTACACAAGGAAGAATCAAGAGGAGTTCTTTTAAGCTGGCAGCCCTCTTCCAGGAAAATGTCGTAAACTGCTCCTTTTTATTCTTTTCTGGAGTTAGGTACCTTCTGCTGAAATGTAAGCAGTGGAGGAGATAATGGCTTCTCTCTCTGAGTTAGGTCTCATACTCAGCCTGAAAGAAGTGGAGACTCAGCTTCCACCTTGGTTTGGCAGCATTTGATCAGGGATCTTTTTCTCTTCAGGTAAACCCATTAGTTTGCATGGATTCTAGCCCTTCTCCAAATAAATTTTTAATATAAAATAATTAAATATTCATTGGAGTAGGGACAGGAACCCAGGTCTCTGCTTTTCCCTCATACTTGCTTTTCCTTTCTGACCTCAATATTGAATTGCACACTTCAAAGTGGAATGGGGTCAGCAGGAGGCATTGGAAGAGCTCTGCTGAGCTATTGAAATTGCTGGTACTTAAAACTTTCATTCGTGAGAAGGGGAAAAAATATCATTTTGTCAGATTCACCCATAGTGAATGAAAGTTTCCTTCTGCCATGAGCATACCCAGGTGCCTTTGAATTGAATCTGTCACTGGCATGTGGCTTGGGGAAGTTTGACCCTGTTGCAGATTAGTTTGGATGGAAGCCTTGTCTGAAGCTAAATTTAGGCCATCTTAGATCTTCATAGTGCAGGTAAAGTTGAGACATCCAGTAATGGCAGTATTAACATTTCTGATGCTTGTCTCCAGTGCAGAACTCTTAATAGAGGTGCTTTCTAAATTGCAGACCACAGACCCAGTACTGAAGCTATGCATTTTAAAACTTTTTGAAAATAGTACCTCCAAATATTTTTTTTTACTGATGGTGGTGTAATCTTTGCTCAGAATTTAAGCTTGCAGTCAACAGACTTACTTTCTCAGTTACCTTCTCCAGGTCCCTTTGAGGCAGCCACTGTTGAGCCTGTTGGGGAACTATATGCAAAAGTGTCAATTCAAACATTTTCTTATGCCTGAGGTTCTGCCCTGATGAAAGTAAGTATTATACAATTCTTTGAAGAGATCACTGCAGTTCATAAGCCAGCCCATTAGACAGGTGAGCTAGCCCTGTGAAAGACCGATGCTTGACACATTCATTGCTCATTCAGTTATATTGCAGCAGAGAATGGGTTTTTGTCAGAGTAAGGAGAAGAACAAGGGGCCATTGAAGTGGGCAGGTAATCAGCACTACTGATGTTCCAGATTATTGAATTGTGTTGAAATAATGAGTTTTTTCATCAGCCTACATTGTTTGTACCTAACTCTCTGAGTCTTTCTTCATTGCAGTAACTTGCACAAGAGATTATGAGGCTGCTTCCCTTCACATATAACGGGGTACCATGTTTTGGCTGTCTTGTGCCATTGCAAAGTGCAGGCCCACTTATACTCTAATTTGAGGATGAGATGTTTGCCGTTTGAGGACATGGGGTGCTTGCAGCATCCGGAAACCATGTGCCCCTCTAATTCTATTTCACTTTAGAGCAAGCACTGGGGCACTGACGTGAAGACTGTAGATGAAGTTTTTTCTGTCACACTGGCACATCCTAGCTAAAGCCTAAAGGAGTTTTGACAAGTAAGGGTTTAAAGATCAGTCCTATGTACTGGTTTTCTTTTAAACTAAAAATGGGAAGAATGGTGTGGTGAAGGATGGAGTTGGTGATATGTTGGTATGAAGCCTCAAGAAGCTTCCTGGAGCAGAAAAGTCATTCCTCTTTAGCTCTTAAGCAGTAAAAGGCTGAATGTTTACCTCTTCAGTTGGTTTTACAGCTGTTTTGAAGACTTATCCGCGTACCTTCTGGAAGATTTTCCTGCATCCTTATTTTGTCAGAGTTCATTGGTTTATTTTATGGAGGGGAAAAAAACCCTCCCAAATTTCCTTTCACTTAACAAAACTGAAGGGTTAGGTTTAGGAACGCTAGCACCATCTCCCATGGGAACTGTAATTGGCATACTTTGTTTTCCCATTCTTCCCTTGGGGCTTGGCTTTATGTCTGGTTTCCATCTCCTGTTTTCATGTTGAGTTGCCATTGTGGTTATGGGAGATGTAATCTAGCTAGGAAACCCAGTCCTTGTTGAAGAATGGGAACATGGGTCATCCCATATGCAAGTACCTTGAGCTGCTATAAGCAACATTTCATGGTCTTGAAAATGAGTTACCAGCTTCCAGTATTTAGTAGAAAGGCAGCACCTCTCTTAGTACAGGTGACATAGCTGTTCGTTTCACTTTATTCATAAGGTGTTCCTCTAACCCCAAATTTCCATCAAAATTCACTTTCATTTTATTTTAAATCAGCATCATGGCTTTGTCTCCAAGCACAAAATGCTGATTTTTTTTTTTAGGGTTTTGCCCTGCAGTAATAAGCGTGATACTTGGATACTGGAATTTGTTGTAAGTTCAAAGCACAGCAAGTAGGAGATGGTGATTTGATTTGCCTGAGGAGACTTCTCTTTCTGGTCTGGCATAAATACTTCTGAAATGTGGATGGAGCTAGACTGGGAATGGGAATAAAGTACTCTTCAAACGTCAGATTTTACTTTCTGAAGTAGATTCCTTTTTTAAAACAGCAATCAACAGAAATGCTGGAGCTGTGTTAATTGAACAGACTGACCTATAGTCTGTCTGTAGAGTATGAAATGTCAGTTTATGAAGTTTAAGCATGTCTAGAAGACAGATTTTGGTCAATAATAGCAAACTGGTGAGAATCCAGTGAAGTTGCATTGCTCCCAAATTTACTTTTAATAAGCAATGAGCTATTTACAAGGACACTTTTGCTACTGTTATGATTGGCTAATTAACACCTCCCCTTCAGAAAACCTCCCTGACTCTTCCAAAAGCCTTGAAGTGTACAGAAACTTGTTCTTTTTATTCTCTCAATTTCACAGTGTCTTCTGCCTTTCATCTTGCAGCCTTTTGCGAGCTGCCACTCTCCCTGTTTGTATGATTTCCACAGAAAACACAAGTAATAGCATCTGAAAGGGAATTTTAAAATAGAGCAGGATATCTAGGGCATGTCAGGGTGATTCTGAGGTGGTCTTAAAATCTACCAGTTGCCTGTTTTGAAGGTTTTTTTTTCAGAATATTTTGAGATTTAACCTCTCTCTTCGAAAGTTTTGGAAGAGCAGCAAGGCTTTCCTCTTAAACACAGCATGGCACATAGTTGGCAGCTGTGGGAAGCAAGAGTGCTTGTGAGATGATCAGTTCTCCACTGGAAGGATTTCTGGGCAAGTGTGGTGCAAATCAGCTCTTGAGAACAGTTTTGAAAGAGGCTTTACCCAGCTCAGTAGAACTGCTTCACACGGATGGGTCACTGGCACAAAGAAATGCTGGTTTTCACAGATTTAAAGAAATAAGGCTTCAAAGAAATTGTTTATTCACTTGAAAAGTCCTTGTGATATATATATTTAACCCATATATACATTTCTAAGTATTTTCATACATAAATCAATTCATGTTGTCATACTGGTGCTCCTGAACATCCTTGCAAAAAGGGCAAAGTAAGTTACTGAAAAAGATTTAGGTGAGGACATGTGCATTTTAAGAGGACACAGTGCCCATGTTTGAAAGTAGTTTAGGGGAAAAACTTACACTGACTTATCTCTAAGAAGCCTGATACACAGTCCAGGTCTTCTCTCTTCTGATGCAGCCACACCCCTGACACAAGAAGGTGAGAGCTAAGCGCTGCTCATGGTCTCACTTTGGTAATGAAGAGCTTTTAAAGAAAGGTTACAACTTTGTGACATGTTTGCTTTTTTCCTTATGTTCACTTGTTTGGAATGAACATGACACAAAAATGAGTGGTGGTGTTTGATGAAGGGCAATGGAAACAACCCCACAACTGCAGGAACTTTACAGTTGTAGTCCTTGGAGGAGCTACAGCAAAAAAACCTTAGTATTTTGAGGGACCTAATTTTTTTCAGTGTTACAGGGTTACATTCCTGTGCTACTCCTTCCTCTGCTGGCTGAAACTCCTCTATGTAGTCCTTTAGAATAATTCTTTCTCTTTTTATGTTAATGGTTGGTTATGAAACAACAACTAAAAAATAAAAAATAAAAAATCATGCACTGGTAATTCAATGAAGTGGTAAGAA